ATTTTTTGGTATTTAAATTAAAAAATTCCATATTAAATTTTCTGGTCTTTTTGGTATTTAAATTTACTAAACGTTACTTTATTACAGGAAGATAATTGTTTACCAACGCAGAGATGCGACAACACCATAGGAAGCTTCACTTGCACGCGTCTTCTGCCATGCGGTACCGGATATACGTTGAACGCCGCTACTGAAATTTGCGAAGACGACGACGAATGTTTTCTCGGCACACACGACTGCGGAGCGGGTTATCATTGCAGAAACACACTTGGTTCTTATCGATGCGACCGTAATCCACGTATGCCAGTTTCACAGGCTCGAACTGGAATTACAACAGCACTGACAACTACAACATCAACAACCACGCAAGTTACACCATCGCACAACTGTCCAAACGGTTTCAACCCTAGTTCCGGTGGAAAATGTGTAGACATAGACGAATGTGAAAGGAATCCGAACATCTGTGGTAAAACGATGCGATGTATGAATACACTTGGATCTTACAGGTACGTAGTACGAATTATTCAACGTGACATCGATGTACACTGCCATTCGTAAGTATTAGGACACCCTTTATGTTCGTATAAAACGTATGGTATAATTTAAATTAGATTTCTCTAATTTTCTCTAATTTTTTAGTTTATTTAGGCTTGCTTCATATTTAATAAGTGTCTTAATACGAAGGGAGTGTACATTGGACTACATACAAGGGAGTGAAAACATTTAGTATTGTTATGAAAGAAAGAAAATATCTGAGATTTCGTTGAATTTGTTTATATAGTATATCTTTATTACAGTTATACAATTTTCTCTATCGACAAGAAATTCATACGCTCCTGTAAAAATAACGTGATCACCTTGGATGGTTTTGTTGTTAGTGGACCGATCGAGAATTGTTTTTCTCTAGCCTAATATGGTTCAAAGAGGTCTTCAAGATGATTACAGTGCATTTTTTATCAGTCCATTCAGATTATAGTATACTTTTTATCTTCCAGAAGTTAGGGGCTCCCAGATCTTCCTTATCACCGTGGGAACACCGGGGGTTTATGGGGTGTCTGAGTGAGCATTTCAATCTCAGAGCTCGTAAATTTCGATAGGTTCCAGATGCACCTTATCGCGCTCTGCTGTTTTTCACAGTCCTCTTACCAGAAGGCACCCTCGCCTTCACTTCTTCGAGGCCAGATCCTTCTGGAACAGCGATTTTTATCCTCTTTTATCTCACAGCACACGTGAACTAATTACTGAAATTCTACAACACACCAGAAAGTATATATTACATTTCTTCACCGATCTAACAAAAAAAGTATACATTTTTGACTGATTTATAAAAAAATACTTCTTTTACTTTCTCACTTGTATTAAAAAATCTTGGACACATCTGTGGACCACTCGAGGCACACCGATTAAAAATCAGCGTTCTAGAACATAGCCCTATCCGCAATCGACAACAAAGCGTCGAGCTCTTTGCCATTGACTCAAAACCATTGCAAATACATCTCCATTCGTCAACTCACAATGTCACGGCCGAATCCATGTCCATTGACAAATACAGGACTCCAGTCATCGCACAGTGGAGTGTTTGTACGAAAAACTTGGCCGAAATTACTTTGCTACACTCTGTCCAATTTAAGAATAACCTCGCTTCGCGCATGGGACGTGCTTAAGGTAAGGCTAAAACGTCCAAACCCCCACTTAACCGTCTACGTTTTCCTCCGTTTTACCCTCTGCTGCGCTCTCTGTCTATGCGCAGAACAGACGAAAATCGGTCCGAGAGCGAGGTTATTCTTAAATTGGACAGAGTATAGTTTTAGCGAAGACAGATGCACTTAGAAATGACGATACTTCGCTTTAATAATATTTTCAAGAAGAAACCATATTTTTGATGTTTAATTAAGTTTGAAAATTTCAATTTTGGCCAGCTTTTCAAATAGAATACTCCACTGTGTATCGGTGACGCCAAGGATTACACAGAACCGTCCCAAATGCTATAATGTGTTGCCCAAAGTATAATATGTTTTATGTTTAACAAGTACCGAATATACGAGATCTGTATCATTTCAAAGTCTTTTTACACAATTGCTCAACATTCTAATTTCAGGTGTGTGTCCAGAGTGATTTGCGGCAATGGATATACTTTGGATCCGGTAACAGGACAGAATTGTGTCGATGTGGATGAGTGCGCGGATGGTACACACAAATGTACCGCGGATCAAACTTGCGTGAACAGATTAGGTGGATACGTTTGCAATTGTCCACCTGGACATGTGACTGGACCGAATAAGGACTGCATCGATATCGACGAATGTAGCCTTTACGGTAACATATGCGGATCAAATAGTCAATGCGAGAATACAGTTGGTTCTTATAGATGCAACTGTGACAGTGGTTTTGAAAACGTTGGTAGTTTCACTGGTAGTGGTTGTCAGGTACATTATAAATATTAATTTCACTTTATTTCACGGTAACACTTTTAACACTGTTAGATAACATTTTCTTAATTCTGAACGTGAAAGAATATTGAAAAAAATTTAGCAAATAAAGTTGCAGATAATAATATTATCGTTAATTGTACGTTCAGGGTAGAAGGAAATTAGTTTTGATGTAT